CTTCAGCAATGACATGTTTGACAGGCTTGGCGATGAAATTCTTCCATTCAATGTGTGTGAGTTCATCCCTGTAGGATACGGTTCTGATGACCTGGTTGGCAACTTCATCGACCTTGGCTTGGGCATCCCGTGAAGCTCGGCGAACCTGGTCACTGCCAAGCTGCAGTATCTTGGCGGTTAAGATGATGGCTTCACCTGTGTGTTCGCACTTGGCAGGAAATCGAACTTCCTCACCAATCCCGTGGAGGATTGGGGCTTGGCTGTCAACTACGATTAGAGCTAATGCTCTTTGTGAAATGGGCTGTACAATGCGCAGGTATGGGACAGCTTGGCTGGCAGAAACTATTGCAATTCCGCTTGCTGTGGCTCCAATACTTCCAAATGGGATTTGGGAAAGGCCTCTCTTTGCGCTATCCATGAAAATACCATCTGGGATGGACACATCGTCAGCTCCAAGTTGTAAGGGCTTTTTGTCCCCCTTAGGGTGCTTGACCTTCTTGTGCTTGGACCCAATGGGTTTGTCTTGCTGTGCTCGGAGTTGGATGACTGTCTGAAGTTCACTTGGGAGGACCAGCTGTAGCTTGGGGATCTGTTGATTGGCAAGGTGTTTCAATTCCCGCCATGGGTCAGTGAGCCGGAAGGCTCTGCCCACAGGTTGGCGTCCAAGCTTGTCCAAGATCAGATTTGCCCTCTCTTGGATAGCATCTTTTGCAACCCCTCGTTCCTGCAGCAGTAAGGTCAGGCGTTCAAGCAGGTCTCCATTGGCTGCTCCTCCAAAGTGCATGCTAAGGGGTACAACAATTTGGTCATGCCCACCGTTGGCATAGAGGTGGTGTTCAAAAAGGAGCCTCCATGTGATGGCATCCTGAATCGAAATCGGTGAATGGTGGAAGTCTGGCATTCCAAAATCTTTGTCGAAAACTGCATGAGTGATCCATCCAACAGCCTGAAACCCACAATCATTGTTGAAGGCAGTGGGGCAAGGCACCTCTTGGACAGTGATGTGGTGGCCTAGGGCCCGTGTGGCAAGCTTGATCCAATCCTTCCCTCCCGGAGTGGTGTAAATCTTGATCTCGCCTTCATGCAGCACAATTACAACTGGAAACCAATGATGGGCAACCCACAGTGCCGAGATTACAACCCCAGGCTGTGCATCAAAGGGCGCAAGTTGGCAAATCCAGCCTTGAAGCATGGGTTCGACCTCTTCATCCAGTGCATGCTCCGGCATAGCCATGATCGATCCCTTTGTTGCTGCTCCTGTGGCCTGGATCATTGACAGATAGAAATTCATTTCATCCATGGCGACCCAAGCTTCCTGGCTGTACAACACTTGCAATCTCGTGTGGGGTGCTATGGAAACAAGATCAGGCGGCATGCATCCACTGACACATGAATGGCTTGTTCCGCACCCTGGCATTTCACGGAGAAAGATTTGCTGCATTTGGTTGGTACAATCCCCCCCTCTGAGCATGGTTCCAACACAGGTGTTGGCTCGTACTGGCTGATGAAAGATTCCAAGCTTGCTCTCTGCTACTGCAATCGACCCGATGGTGGCATCAGGGACAACTCGGATGTGTGTTGGGCATGCATCTCCTGGCCTGATGACTTGAACAATGTGGCCTTTGGCATTGGTCAGTGCAGTATGGTGTTCATCATCATCTCGTCCCGTGGCCTCCGGGACAAGCAGGTCAGCATGAGTGTTACCTGTTTGGTGTGATTTTGGTGCCTCGGCGGGGGCTTCAGCAAGATCTTGTTGTTTGGCCCAGACTTCAAGAGCCTGAGTGGCGCCAATCTCCTCTTCACCGGTTTGCTCCTTACTTAGGACTGACGATTCCTTATGACTTCCTTCGATGAGGGGATGAGTGGGCTGCGCTTGATAGACTCCTACATTGGAAAAGGCTTGGATCCCCCCGCACTGTGAAATTCCCAAATCTACCTTCTCATCAGCACACCTAGAGTTGGGTGGATCATGCTGAGCGGCAGGAATTGTTGCATTCTTTCCCAAGGCATTATTGTTACCCAACGTGGCCTGGATTCCGGGGCTTGTCAGTGAGCATGCTGTTGATTGGTTCGATGTAGCTTGGCTTTCATGGCACAACCCTGACTTCACATTGCTTGGCTCGGCGCTGTGGGCAGCGTTGAGTCCTACATCTTCAGAGCATGCTGCTTCTGGCCAGGCATTCTGGTGTCCCGGAGTGGCCTGGATTCCGGGGCATGGAGCCAACCAGGCATTTTGGTAACCCGGAGTTGCCTGGATTCCGGGGCATGAAAAATGGCTTTCCTTGCCAACTGCTTCACTTGGTGTCACAGGGATGTTGGTGTCCCCTGTCTTGGCAATCTTGGCACGTGTGTCCTGTGACATCTCAGGATTTGATCTTTTGGCATCGCAGGCATTATTGTAACCCGGAGTTGCCTGGATTCCGGGGCATGAAAAGGGCCAGGCATTGAGGTTTCCCGGAGTGGCCTGGATTCCGGGGCATGTCACTTGGATGTGGGTCGATGCATCAAGGTGAGTGCGCTGGCCAAGTTCACTCTGCACAATGGGGCTTGTGGCAAAATGCTCAGGCAACCTAGGTGCAGGTCCTTCCGTCCTGCTCGGTGGCTGTTTATGTTCTTCTGGGTTCTGGCGTCCCGTCCGCTGGCTGTTGATGTTCTTTTCATCTGAAACAGGGTCAGTTGGAAGAGACCCGACACTGACCTCAGCTTTGGAGGCCAGGGCATGTTGCTTGGTGAAACTTGATACCTGGGCAGGGCACTCCAGGGTAATCGTGTTTGGCTCCTCAAACGCTTTGGTTTGGGCAGTTTCTGTGTGGCTCTGGTTAAGGCAATCTGCACTTGGGTGTGCAATTTCAGGCTTTGCTTCATCGGTCTCAATCTGGATCACTTGGTGTGGTCCCAAACTGGCATGATAGGCATCGGCAAGACATGCATGAACCCTTGCAAAATACCCTACAAAACTCGGATGCTGGGACACTGCCGGCTGCGTCTGTTCTACCCCTTGGTACATTGAGACAAAGTGTCTCCACAGGCATTGGGTCGGATGCTGAAACGGAAGGCCAAGCACCTGCGCACGGTGTGCCCATGTTTGTGCAACGATCCAGCACGACTGTACAGGTGAAGCTAGCTGACCAACACCTGCAATCGCCAAACGCAACCTGGTCCCCCATTCAAGTGCGGGGTTCATTCCATTGACAAGGGCTAATTCCCACGGATGCATGTGTCTTGTGGCCTGAAGTTCCCCAAAATGGGTTTTCACCAAACCAGGTAGAGGGAGTAAAGCCCCAAACAACCCTTTGGAACTCAATCTTGTTTCACTCATTGGGTACTGCCTGCATTCACATGGGCAGGCATTCAATTGGTTAGACCAACCATGAAGTGCGGTTTTCCCAACAGAATTCATGAGGACGATGTTGTTACGAAGTCCCCCAAATTCCTCAAATTTCCCTGTCTCGTATCTATCCAACGTCAGTTGTGAAAGATCTTGTTCAGGCCATGCCGGGCAAAACGGGATCAATTCACCCAAAACTGGAAGGGGAGAAAGCTTCGGGAGTTGTTGGAGAACAAACTTCGGCACTGAGCGGTCTGTCAAAACGCACCACCAACGGTTTCGTCGGCTGGGAATGATGTCACTGAGTGAGAGGTCACACTGAGTCCTCCGGTAGCCTGTCAGTGCACAAAACTCATCCAAAACCTTGGCTACTTCTTTGTCTAGCCCAGCCCCTTCAACGCACTCCATGACAATGGTATGGGCTTGGAGGTAAAACCCCGCATGCAATGTATGAATCAGAGACTGAGCTCTTCCATCGCTAGAACCCCTACCATCCCCAAGTTTCGACCATGGTTGGCAGTTGAACCCTGAAGTAAGCCAAGCTGGGGCCCCATATTGTTGGTGCAGTGCTACAATTGTTCCTGGGTCTCCTAGGTTCCCCTGTACCACACATTTTTTCCCCTGGAGGGTCATCAACTGACACAAGGGTTTCCGCAACTCATTCGATGCAACTGTTTGGATTTCACAGGCGTCAAGTCCCTGTGCCATGCATCCGATTCCAGCGCAGACTTCTATGGACCTGGAAAATGTCTCAGTGGATGGCACTTCATGCTTGAGTGCATGCCCTTTGGTGACATCGATGGTGGTTCGTCCACCTATCTGGCATGCCTGAACGCCAATCAGTGAGAACATCGGTGCAACTGGCAAAGGTCCCTGCAAAATCACATGCTTCAAACCAGGAATTGTTCTTCCCAAATGCCTGGAGCCTTCGGGATCATGTACAACCATTGTGACCAAAACATTGATCTCCGTCCCTTCTTTGATGGTGTCCCATGAAGGTTCCAGTTGCAGCTTATCAAAAACCATGGCTAGAAAACTCCCCCCAAGGCGTTCCGTTGGCACAGTTTGACCAGCTGGTAGGCTCCTTGATCCAAACTCTGTGTCGACCCTTTCGACTGGGGCATAGAGACAGCTTAGTGGCTTGTCCGCCTGGAATTTTCATGAATTTTCCCACCTTTGCCGCTTGGTGGTGTCCGGCTCGCCCGATGTCTCCAATTCATTTGTATCCCCTTGTAGCAATTCATTTGTCTCCCAGTCCGGTTGGTGGTGTTCGGGTTTCCCTATGTCTCCAATTCATCTCTCTCCCCGTCTAGCAACTGATTTGTCTCCCAGTCTGGCTGGTGTTCGGCGTCGGGTGTCTGCAATTAATTTGCCCCCTATTTAGCAATTTTTCTTTCTAGTGTGGCTCGTCAGGCTCTCCGGATGTTTTTCTTGTTTCCCTGGCATTGCGTATCGTGGCCTTCTGAATCGACAAGACATGAGCGCCAACGTGCAGTGAAGGGCGGAAGGCGCCCTTTCTGAACAGGCAGAAGCAGCCGGGACTCCAAAGCGTTGGGCTTGCAATCTTGCAATTGCTTCTCTGACGCCCTCTCCCTGTTGCCGGCAGGGTGCGGCGGATTTCAAGCAGAAAATGGCATGCAAGTGAAGAGAGTAGCGATCCTGCCCAAGCCAGGCATTCCGGAGAAAGCTCGCACAGAGGAAAGCCTTGTCACTGGGAGGGAGCGCAGCGCGTTTTGCTAAAGCCCGAAGTTGATAAAATTCACAAGTGCAAGTTGCGCAAACTGGATCTCGATCCCGGCTGATCCGAGGCAAAATTCTTTAACAAGATCTTTGACAAACAAGTGGTGAAGGCTGCATCCTTTGTTCGCGACACGTCAAGACTTCTGCCACTTCTTGAGGCGCCCAGCATTTCTCAGTGGTTGCATAGGGCAAGGCTTGCATTCTATTCGCAGTAAGCTTGATGAACCGATGTGGGTTTGTACCGATTCTATCGAACACAGACATGCGAAATTGATCTGGTGTCAGTGTAAAGCGGAATGGAGCTAGGAGAGAGATCAAGTGTCCGAAGAATTGGCCGAGGAGGCTTGATGGGTGAAACACCTTGGGGGTCTTTGAAAATGTGTATCAAGAACTCAGATTAGAAAACATGACAACTGTGCGTTTGATTTGCCAGATCTACATGTTCTCTGTGTGTTTTGTTCTTCGTTTTTTTTCCCATAAACACATGTTATATCATGTTTTGAATTGTAGGTCACAAAAATCACACAAAGATCATAAGTTTTGGATGAGAAATACTTCCATCCCACGTACCCTCCAGTAAATTAACATAAACCATAGACCCTCAATATCGCAAATTTTTGGCGGAAACTCATCTTCCACCCCCTTGTTTTCAGGGTCTACTATATATGTTAGTCGGGGGGATGGTGATGCGTGAGTTTGTTCGAAATTGGTCAGGTTTGTTTGCATCAGCAAAGCCAACACGGAGTTGGAGGTAGTGCAAATTGTCACTATTTGCAGTGGGTTCTTAGTGAATAAGCACTTTTGCGGACTTTGACCTCCTTGAAACCGTTTGAGAAGCGACAACCATTTTGACCTCAGCCGAGTTGGCTTTGCACACATGTGTGCGCAACATTTTGATTGCGGACTGTAGAATCCAAGATGTGGCTGGAGGGTCATGTTTCCTCTGATATGCAGATTTGTCACTCAGGATCGAAGTTTCCCTTGTCTACATTAGGTGCATGTAGATGGACCACAGACTGTGACACTGAGATCCAAGGATCCTTTTCATCTCCAGCAGATGGAAGATTTAGAAAAACGCTACAAGCGAATAGCAGCAGAGGTGGAGGAGGTGGCAGAGCTTATTTTTTGTTGCTTGCTTAGTTATATGAACTGCAGGATACGTTTTTTTGATTTGTACAGCTATGTGACTGATCTTTTTCTCCCCTGTCTTTACCCGGATTCCTTGCTTGTCAGAGGTTCCCAAAATTTTGCCTATGATGCTGCCTTTGTCACTTTCTGCGATCGGCGCCATGCAGAATTTGCGCGACGCTTGAAATACAGCGATGGTGTCTCAGCTGCAGTCTGTGAGATCAGCGAACCATGAAGAGCATTCGCTGAAGGATGTGGTTTTGGTTTGTCCAACTTCAAACCAGTTCACGCTGACATGATGCACCATGATGCACCATGATGCACCATGATGCACCATGATGCAGTCGCAAGAATCCCATATCATGAAATCGGAAGCTTAGATCCAACCGTCTACAGAGTCAGCATGGCACCGGCGCCTTCTGATGTGAATTTCAGCAGCTTCAGCAATACCACGGCAAATCTGGTGAAAGGAAGGGCTCTGCTCGGGCGTCTCTTTGCTCCTTGGAACCAAACCGGCCAGGATTGAAAATCATTTTCACTTTGGTCGTGGGTCCACTTGAGGTTGCATCTGTGTTCTTCTTCTTCCTGCCAGTTGTGAAGCTTGGCCTGATTTAGAAGTAGAAGGCTTTCAAGATTTCCGTGTGCTGATTATGTGTCACCGACATCAAACCATGTTTCAGACAAAGCGGCGCGAGGATTGGCATTTCTTCAATGCTGTCGGTAGATTCGCTGTCCCAAATGGCACCTGGCTTGAAGGCCTCATGGCTTGAAACTGATTTTGACAAATTTTGATGACGTACGAAGACAGGGTACCAAGCCGACCAAGCCATAACGATTTCAGCCAGGACTGGGCTACTGAGCATACCTGGCTGATGGCTGCCTGGGAGGCATTGTGCCTCAACGAAACTGTGCAGTTTGAGTTGTTAGATGTTTGAAGAATTTTGAAGATGTTTGCCAGGATTTGATGACATGTTTCAGTTTGGCTTTGCAGCTTTGCATTTCGTTCGGGCAACCTGGGCCCGGACTTCTTGCAGTGCTTGCAGTGACAACTGAAGACATTCCAAGGTGGGGTACAAGTCTTCTCTCGATGCTCATGGACCTTGTCCCATGGATCTTGCGGGAGGCGAGGGATCAGTTCGATAACCGTGCGGCACGTGCCGCTGTGTGACACGTGATCTGCGAGGTCTTCAGACGCTTCTACCGTTTACGCAGCGGGGCAAAATGCCAGCATAAGATTCAGCCACATAGCTGCAGATTGTTGAAGAAACCGTGAACCAGACATCCGGACAGTTTTTTGAAGACCGAGAATCATGTTTCCAACAAGTCCTCGAAATCTCAAAGTTTGCGAGCCAGTCTTGTGCTGACATTTCAACCTGGTTCAGTCCTTATGAAGAAATGAAGGTGCCTTGAGTGCCCCGTTGCCAGCCGAGCCCGAAATCTCCGTTTTGAGTTTTGACGCTCAGGCGATGGTATTTCTTTTTCTTGGAGCCTCGGTTTTTCTTTATTTCAAGATATTTCAAGTGTATGTATTTGGCTGTCCAGACAGGTCATTGCGAGACTCAGTGTGAGACACAGTGACTACTCGCAAAGCCAAGCAGAAATTATTCATGCAGCAGACGAAACAGCCCAGGTGGTGTTTGTGTTGCTGGTTACCGCAGTGGGCACATCTCTTTTTGAAGCCGCTGCGCGCTTTGCGCAAGCACCTCTTCAGGTGCTTGGGTCAGCCTGTCTCTGCCTTCCACATTGCAAATTGAGCAAACATCGTCATTTAAAACGATGCGGAATCGGTGAATTTTTGCGATCAGACAGTTTGATAACTTTGAAAGCTGTAGGTGAATGAATGACGCAGAAAAAAACATCAAAAAACATTGGTAGTATAATCATAATCCCTTTCCTGCAGACAAGTGACCTTTTGATGCGCACTCGAGCTTCCATGGTCTGGAGGTTTGGTGGCTGTTGGCAGACCAGCTTCCACATGCGACGAATTTCTACTTGCGATATGCTGTGCTTCTCTGGGGCACACCGTTTGTTGATCTGCTCCGATGCCGCATGCTGAGTTGTTCAGATCAGCGAGGGGATCGCCATGTTGCAGTTGCGGATGTCCAAAAGCAAGGACAAGAGCTCGAAGAGCTCGAAGAGCTTGCGGGTTTGTCACGGTTTGTCACGGTTTGGGTCGGGTTTGCTTGCGCCTTGTGCTTTGAGGTATGCCTCTCTTCCGCTTCTGGCGTGCCCTAAATTCGGGCGAGCATGGAACTCGGAAGACTCGGAAGACTCGGAGCAATTTCAAACATCCACTTGCTATCAAAGCCTCGAAGCCAAACATGCTCGCATTCTCAATGTTTTTTCCCGAGAGCGTCTGAGCGCAGGGTTCTTCCAATAGTGGGGGTCTGTATCTCATCTTCTCATCTTCACACCTTCTCATCTTCACACCTTCTCATCTTCACACCTTCTCATCTTCACACCTTCTCTCACACCTTCTCATTTTCACATCTGCTCATCTTCACATCTTCTCTCACATCTGCTCTCACATCTGCTCATCTGCACATCTGCTCATCTTCACATCTTCTCTCACATCTGCTCATCTTCACATCTGCTCATCTTCACATCTTCTCTCACATCTGCTCATCGTCACATCTGCTCATCTTCACATCTGCTCATCTTCATATCTTCTCTCACATCTGCTCATCTTCATATCTTCTCTCACATCTTCTCTCACATCTTCTCTCACATCTTCTCTCACATCTTCTCTCATCTGCTCATCTTCATATCTTCTCTCACATCTTTTCTCACATCTGCTCATCTTCACATCTGCTCATCTTCACATCTGCTCATCTTCTCTCACATCTTCTCTCACATCTCCTCTCACATCTTCTCTCACATCTGCGCATCTTCACATCTGCTCATCTTCACATCTCCTCTCACATCTTCTCTCACATCTGCTCATCTTCACATCTGCTCATCTTCACATCTTCTCTCACATCTGCCCATCTTCACATCTGCTCCTCTTCACATCTGCTCATCTTCACACCTTGTCTCACATCTTCTCACCTTCACATCTTCTCTCCTTTCTCTCTCCTTTTTCTCTCTCTCGCCTTCTTTATCTTTCTCTCTTTAGGCCGAGGGTGGTGCCGGCGGAGAGTCACGAAACGTCAACCCTTTCGCACGAAATGAGGGTCGATCGGCAAAAACTGAGGTAAAATTGCATTTTACTTGTGCTAAAGCAACCCTTTCGCACGAAATGAGGGTCGATCTGCAAAAACTGAGGTAAAATTGCGATTTTACTTGTGCCGGAGCAACCCTTTCGCACGAAATGAGGGTCGATCGGCAAAAACTGAGGTAAAAGTGCGATTTTACTTGTGCTAAAGCAACCCTTTCGCACGAAATGAGGGTCGATCGGCAAAAACTGAGGTAAAATTGCGATTTGACTTGTGCCGGAGCAACCCTTTCGCACGAAATGAGGGTCGATCGGCAAAAACTGAGGTAAAAGTGCGATTTGACTTGTCCCAGAGCAACCCTTTCGCACGAAATGAGGGTCGATCGGCAAAAACTGAGGTAAAAGTGCGATTTTACTTGTGCCGGAGCAACCCTTTCGCACGAAATGAGGGTCGATCGGCAAAAACTGAGGTAAAATTGCGATTTTAGTTGTCCCGGAGCAACCGTTTCGCACGAAATGAGGGTCGATCGGCAAAAACTGAGGTAAAATTGCGATTTTACTTTTGCCGTTCTTGTCTGTGTGTAAAAGCGCCTGTGTGTAAAAAGCGTCTGTGTGTAAAAGTCTCTGTGTGTAAAAGCGTCTGTGTGTAAAAGCGTCTGTGTGTCAAAGCGTCTGTGTGTAAAAGCGTCTGTGTGTAAAAGTGTTTGTGTGTAAAAGTGTTTGTGTAAAAGTGTTTGTGTGTAAAAGCCTCTGTGTGTAAATGTGTTTGTGTGTGAAGGCGTCTGTGCGTAAAAAGCGTCTGTGTGTAAAAAGCGTCCGTGTGTAAAAGCGTCTGTGTGTCAAAGCGTTTGTGTGTAAAAGCATCTGTGTGTAAAAGTGTTTGTATGTAAAAGCTTCTGTGTGTAAAAGTGTTTGTGTAAAAGTGTTTGTGTAAAAGCCTCTGTGTGTAAAAGCTTTGTGTGTAAAAGCGTCTGTGTGTAAAAAGCGTCTGTTTGTAAAAGTGTTTGCGATGCAAACTATTGTCTTGCACTTCTCACTATCCTGTCTTGATACTCCTCTTCTCGACTGCCTATAACAGAGCTTTCATATATCGTTTCTAATATTACGTCTCCATACTAACAAGAGAAGACCCTGCTCCCCCCTGAACTGTCCGAGCAAACATGACTGTAAGCATTTCCAGAGCTTCTTTTGGTGGCCGTGGTGCTCGTCTTTGGAGATTTTGGAGGCCTGCTGCATGTTGTCATCAGTGTGTGGCAGTCATTCGATGTTTTGCAGCTAGCTTTTGGTAAAACCGCATGATTTTGCGAGTTTCAACTGCAAGCTTGTGTTCTGTTTGTTCGTCAAAGCATGAAGCTGGTCGGCGCAGCTATTGGTTCGAGATTTGTATCGCGCTTGGCGTCTATAAGTTGTTACTCTGGGTTCGCTGCAACCGCATATGTCCAAGAAGGTCCGAGAGTTGCAACAAGGCTTGACAGAGGGAGGAGTTGATCCCTTCCGGCGCCAGGTGCGCAAACTTGGGATCAATGCCTGACAGCTGGCTTTCAAGACAGCACGCAATTAGCAACTACGAACCTGGCAGAACGCAATGGTGTTTAACGCATCGCACGTGAAGCAACCGGATCTGTCTGAGCTTCACAAGCGAGCACACCAGTACTGTTTGAGGTTTCCGTAGTATTATTTTCTGTTGCAAGTTTCGCATGTGAAGCAACCAGAACTGTCTGAGTTTCGATGCGTGACAGCAAATTTGCGTTTCGTGCTTGAGTTGCACAAAAGATTTGCGTGCTTGATGAACTTTGTCTTGTCGCTTCCAGGTGCTTCACTCCACAGCTTGAATATACGATGTGGCAGCTTTTTTCTTCTCAGGTAAAAGACACAGGTGTTCTCAGGTAGGCTCACCCATGACGCAACGTGTGATGCTGAAGTGGTCGCAAGCCAGGCAAAAGGACATCCAGGATGCGTACAATGATTTTGCTTCGTGGACGGCCTTGGACGAAATCATCTACCAACACACTTACAGCTTCTCATCCATAGCTGCATGGCCTGTGGATGGTTGCCTTGTTTGCCAGCCTACAGAAAGGTCAAGTGTGCTGCTTGGCAGCTTGCAAGCCGCTTGCAACTTGGATGTCATCAAAGAAGAACTTGGCGTCTCCGTAACAGTGGTTGTTTCCATGTGTGAGACTGAGATGCGATCACATGGAGCTCCATCCAATTGGAAAGATTATTTCCGTGAGCGCGATGTAGTTCATATTCATTGTCAGTTGGATGACATCACATTGAAGCAGCCGGGCCGCGACGTGGAACGGCACGAAGCATTGCAAAGGAAATGCCTCTCCAGCTGGAAAAGCATATGCCTTCAACTGTGGCAACAGTCAATCATTGCCGTCAACAAAGACGAGCCCATGCACATTTTGTTTCATTGCTTTGGTGGGATCAATCGCAGCGCTGCGATTTTGTGTGCTTGGCTTTTTGTGGCCTATGACTACACCGCGGAGGATGCGATCAAGCTGTTGCGCACAAAGAGGCCATCTCTTCGCCCATGGCGCCATCGAGACTATGTTTTGGATGCATTGTGGATGGTGGAACAACAGCGTTCTGAGTGGCGCCAGGATTTCCAACATGGCACAGCCTAGCTCCCACTTGCTTGCAGACTGCGAGCCTTGGTAGCACGTTTTTTTTCAATTTCAAAATGAAATGCATCAGCATGAGTCAACCAGAACTGTCTGAGACTTGCTGATGAACGCATCATGTATCCTGTTTCACCAGAAGCCAGCGGCAGAAGTCAAACAGAACTGTCTGAGACTTTGGCAGCTACACCCAACTTCATCATGACAAAAAGTTGCTCATTGCTTTAGTGAGTCAAGCAGATCGGTCTGACACTCAATCGAAAATCAATAAAGCTGCCAATTCCTTTTGCGCATATAGTTGTGCCTGAACATCACTGAATGTGATCTGTCGCAGTCATTAGTCATAGTGCTTGAATGCTTTGCAGGTCCGCACTGTTGGACTCTGCAGCTAGGTTTGCATCGAGTCATGGCCCCGTGATGGGATGGATTACATGGATAAGCTGCTACCACAAAGAAACAAATCGATATATTATATATTGAGATAGAAATAAAGTTATGAGATGGAGATGGATGTATGAATGTTAAGAAAAGACTTTCAATTCAAGTCACATGGACCCTAAACCCAAAAAACACATGGAAAGGAGCACAAGGGCCATCCCACTATATCATATTGTAATACTGTGCTTCTCCCAGCCCAGAAACGTTCGCCGCCTGCCAGGTCCGCCCGTTTATACTTCTTTTTGGGAAGATGGCAAAACACCTTGGTTGGGGGGGCCCAAAGCACATAGCCCTCATGACATGTTTATAGATGCTGGTTTCGAGTCACATGGAAATAGGACTTCACCACATCACCCTGTCGGATTGCTGAGGTGAACACGGCATGCTGAGGTGTTTGTATGTAAGACCGTCTGTGTGTAAAAGCGTTTGTGTGTAGAAGCTTCTGTGTGGAAAAGCATCTGCGTGTAAGAGCGTCTGTGCGTAAAAGTGTTTGTGTGTAAATGTGTTTGTGTGTAAAAGTGCCTGTGTGTAAAAGCGTCTATGTGTAAAAGCTTCTGTGTGCACAAGCGTTTATTGGTAAAAGCAGCTCCTGTGTGTAAAAGCGTCTGTGTGTAAACGTGTCTGTGTGTAAAAGTGTCTGTGTAAAAGCGTCTGTATGTAAAAGCGTCTGTGTGTAAAAGCTTCTGTGTGTAAAAGCCTTTGTGTGTAAAAGCGTCTGTGTGTAAAAGCGTCTGTGTGTAAAAGTGTTTGTGTGTAAAAGTGTTTGTGTAAAAGCTACTGTGTGTAAAAGCTTCTGTGTGTAAAAGCTTTTGTGTGTAAAAGTGTCTGTGTGTAAAAGTGTCTGTGTGTAAAAGTGTTTGCGATGCAAACTATTGTCTTGTACTTCTCACTATCCTGTCTTGATACTCCTCTTCTCGACTGCCTATAACACATCTTTCATATATCGTTTCTAATATTGCGTCTCCATACTAACAAGCGAAGACCCTGCTCCTCTACGCTCTCGGGCCATCCGTCGTCTAGTTTTTGCATGACACATGATCCACATGAATCCACATTACTGTATTTCTATGTGTTTCTATGTATTTGTGATGTATTTGTTTCTTTCTTTATCTATTGACCTCTTTTCAGAATAGATTCCAAGGACAGTCTTGTTAATGCTGGTCTATCCTTTGATATGAGTCCAAGGTCTGGCCATTTCGCCAAGCAACTAGCTGAGCCAGAGGACCAGGCCTTCCATGGCATTGGCGCTCGTAGTGCCAGATGGACCTTGCATGTGGTCCTGGGGCTGACGTTGTGCAGCGCCCCGGTGTCAACTGTGTCAGTTGTGTCAAAGGGCTTCGGAGTTTCGCGGAGTATTTCGAAGTGGGGGATAGATTTTTTTACTGAACCCCTCATATTCTGTACCCTTGGAGGGATGAAACTTTGTGACTCTGTGGTCCAAGCACCTGGTCGCATGCGAGGTCCAGACCAGGGAAAACAGGGCCAGACCAGGGAAAACAGAGTTCATTGTCAGGTATTGAGTTTTTTCCTCAAGTTGCAAGTTGCTGGTGGTTGGATTTTGAAACGTTCCTGCGCTGAAGGTCTGCAACCCTTCATCCCAATGATCTTGGGCTTTGGTTTTCTCTTTCGTCGATTGGTCTTCGGCTTTCTCATTGCAGTTTGGATGCACGTACTTCAAGACTGCCGCATGGTTTTGTATACTGCTCCCTGTGCTCCATGCAGTGCTTGAAATTGAGGTTTTTGCCGAGACCCGGAAACCAGATTTGGGCGGACAGCTATGGCGAGTCCAGATGCAACATACACAGTTGGGTTTGGTCATCTACATCATGGCTTCAGACTCAGTTTCCTTCATGCAATACACATCAATACATCAATACATATGTATATATACAGTATAGTATATATATATATACAGTATATATATATATATATTTATAGTATGTATATAATATATAGCAACGCCAGCGTTTATCGCAGACATTTGCAAGCTAGGTCATGACCCTGATATTGCTTGACCGAGAGGAGTCCATGGTGTTTGAATCTTAGGCCACAACCGGCATGGCGAAGGAATTCTTTTGCATATTTGCAACGCTGTTCATTCGTTTCATCTGAGGGCAGCGATTCTGGCAGGGAGCAGCGGTTTTTTTGTAGCACTGTTTTGGCACTGGCCTCAGTTCTTTCACTGCAGCTGCAATGTTTTCATGCACCCTAACTTCTTGCATCATTGACTCGATGTCCGAATGGCCCGTATCTAGGTTTTGGTATCCAACTTTGTTGGACTTGCACTCATTGCCCGTGCAGCAGGTCCGATGTGTTCTTCGTTTTTCTTCATCAGAAAATCTAGCTTGTGCTAGCTGAAATTGCTCTTGCTTTTGCAAGGAACAGGCAGGTAGCAGGACCATTGGATCCCTTGAACTTTCAGCCTAATACCCCTCGCCCTCCCCCCTCTTGGCAGCCTCGGTTCAATCCCCCTGGTCCGTGGTTTGGGGACAGTTGCAGGTTTCTACGTCTTTATCTTCCCCTTCTTCATTTCATTTGGCACACTTTGTGCTTGTGCATATGTCAGGCGGAGCAGTCTGCCACCATCGTGGGCCGTTGCGCTGATCCTGACAGTGCTGAAGACATTGATTGCTTCACAGCACCATACCTGCAACCAGTGACTTGGTGGACCTTTGTTTCGTGGATCATTGTGAGTCGTGGGGTGTTGAAGCTTCACCGGTCAGAGACGATCGCAGAAAACTTAGGAATTGGAGCAATCCCTCCCCGTGGCTTTGCGCAGTCAGTGGCTTGTCTGAAAATTTCATGGTCCCGTAGGTCCCATACCAGACGTCCCATAGACATCTGGAAGCTTGTTAAATTTCCATCTGTTTCATCTGCAGGTCCCAAAGATCCCACCATTGGGCAGATTTGGATCGTGCGCTACAAGAAGCCAGTGACCAAGGTCAAAGTGCCCGAGGCGCCCAAGTTTGGATCACAACCAAAACAATACGCAGCGATACAGCGATACCAAATATAGGTATTGCATGCATCACATGGCATCCTGTGGGGATGAAAAGCATTGCTTGTTGATTCATTTTGAAGGACATTTGGAAATTGCGAGTGAGACTAGACCACCTGAGCCTACACGAAGCCGTCGAAAATCGACTGGGATCCTCGGTACAATAAATGTGAAGTCAATGACATAGTTCAGAGTTTCATGACAAGACCATACGACGTGCGGATTTCACGCTTATTTGCAAATTGCCTGTCTCGAGGTCGTTGTTGACTTGCCTTTGCTCAAGTTTTTCAGGCTGGGTGTAGTTGGGACATTGTTTGCCAAAAGAGCAAACAAAAATGTAACAAGAATAAATATGACATTTATTATTTTTTTCTGAAAAAATGCCCATGCCCATAGCGGTACCTTATCTCTATCCACCTGAATATTAATGACTCCAAAAATAAAGGTCTCGATAAATAGCGTGGACCCATACGCGATCTACAGGTCCGAACCAGACGCATGATCCATAAATCTCCATGGGATATGGTCTGTACCCTTGATCCCACACCCATACGAAAAAACCAGGCTACTTGAATATATCTTTTCAATAGGTCCGGATTGAGCCATTTATACGTAGCTCATTCCTTCTATACGTCCGTATCACCGCGGAACGATCTATACCCGTTTTTGAGCCATACCCTTTTTCCTTCTTTATTCTTCTTCTTACTATTTATTCTTACTATTTATATATGTGGGGCCCAAAGCCTGTATGATCTTTCCGGCCGCCCCAAGCATTGTTCTGGACGGTTATCGGACCAATTTTTTGGGGGTCGGTTGTCCTGCTTATTGCACTTAACCTTCCTTGGGTCTTGTGGGGTGTGGCTTACTGGTTTTTTCTGTGTCCTTTACCTGGCCTTCCGTTAGATTGGATTTTGGATTTTCCTAGTGCTTGAGCCTCTTGGCCCATCTTTCACGGCTCGACCGAGTCGCTCTTAAGTGCTTACATCTTACCTACATGAGCAGACCTTCCACCGACCAGGACGCGGAGATTAAATTGCGGATTTTTAATTGGTATCCGTATTCTACTTAAGGTTCTGGATTTGCCGCTGATTTTTTTATATTATATTACTTAATTTGAGCCCGACATATTGTTTTTACGTTAGAAAGAAATTATTTCCGCAGATTAATTTATTTATATACTTTAAAATCGTAATTTTACTTAAATTTATGGCCTTTGACGATTATTTTATATGAAAGGATTGAATTTCCTACAAAATCTCAATTTTTGATTTTGAATAATTATTTTATATGAAAGGGTCGCGCCTGACTTTATACTCGTAATTTTATACAAATTATATTTTATGCGAAACGGTTGTACCTGATATGTTATTATCGATAAACTTATAATCATTTTTCCTAATTTATATATATATATATTAATATATATCTTTTATTTAAAAAAAATATATCTAAATTATCATTACTATTTATTTTTTATTTCGCACTTATATTTGATGTTATAAAATTATTTTTATTTCGTACGGAGGGGTTGTACCGGCCCTTATTAAATTTATATTTTATTGGATTTTTGGATATTACGAAAGCCGGCCGGTTATTTGCGAACGAAGTGAGAATAGGGGGTTTGGGGGGGGGTAGTTGCCAAACGGGTTAAAAATGGCGGAAATAGGTGGTGTTGTAGTTCCAGGCAAAGTATGGTTTTGCAGCGTAATGTACTAGGCGGCAAAACAGTGACGGTGGGTATCGATTCCCCCTAGGTTCGGTTTTCTGGGGTTTTCTGGGCTCAGTCAATGGACAGATAGATGGGCCAGCTAGTTAGAGGAGATTGGAGAGAGAAGGACATTGGGTGAAAAGTATGTGCAAGAAGGGTTTCTGGGTGAAGAGTTTCTGGGTGAAAAGTATATGGGTGAAAAGTATGTGCAAGAAGAGTTTCTGGGTGAAGAGTCTCTGGGTGAAAGTCTGTGCAAGAAGAGTTTCTGGGTGAAGAGTCTGTGGGTGAAAAGTATATTGGTGAAAAGTATGTGCAAGAAGAGTTTCTGGGTGAAGAGTCTCTGGGTGAAAAGTATATGAGTGAAAAGTATGTGCAAGAAGAGTTTCTGGGTGAAGAGTCTCTGGGTGAAAAGTATATGGGTGAAAAGGATGTGCAAGAAGAGTTTCTGGGTGAAGAGTCTCTGGGTGAAAAATCTGTGCAAGAAGAGTTTCTGGGTGAAGAGTCTCTGGATGAAAAGCATATGGGTGAAAAGTATGTGCAAGAAGAGTTTCTGGGTGAAGAGTCTCTGGGTGAAAAGTGTAGTGGTGAAAAGTATGTGCAAGAAGAGTTTCTGGGTGAAAAGTATGTGCAAGAAGAGTTTCTGGGTGAAGAGTCTGGGTGAAAAGTATATAGGTAAAAAAAAGTCTGTGCAAGAAGAGTTTCTGGGTGAAGAGTCTCTGGGTGAAAAGAATATGGGTGAAAAGTATGTGGGTAAAGAGTCTGTGGGTGAAAAGTATGTGCAAGAAGAGTTTCTGGGTGAAGAGTCTCTGGGTGAAGACTATGTACAAGAAGAGTTTCTGGATGAAGAGTCTCTGGATGAAAAGTATATGGGTGAAAAGTATGTGCAAGAAGAGTTTCTGGGTGAAGAGTCTCTGGGTGAAAAGTATATGGATGAAAAATATGTGCAAGAAGAGTTTCTGGGTGAAGAGTCTCGGGGTGAAAAGTATATGGGTGAAAAGTATGTGCAAGAAGAGTTTCTGGGTGAAGAGTCTCTGGGTGAAAAGTATATGGGTGAAAAGTATGTGCAAGAAGAGTTTCTGGGTGAAGAGTCTCTGGGTGAAAAGTATATGGGTGAAAATATGTGCAAGAAAGTTTCTAGGTGAAGAGTCTCTGGGTGAAAAGTATATGGGTGAAAAGTATGTGCAAGAAGAGTTTCTGGGTGAAGAGTCTCTGGGTGAAAAGTATGTGCAAGAAGAGTTTCTGGGTGAAGAGTCTCTGGGTGAAAAGTATATGGGTGAAAAGTATGTGCAAGAAGAGTTTCTGGGTGAAGAGTCTCTGGGTGAAAAGTATATGGGTGAAAAGTATGTGCAAGAAGAGTTTCTGGGTGAAAGTATATGGGTGAAAAATATGTGCAAGAAGAGTTTCTGGGTGAAGAGTCTCTGGGTGAAAAGTATATGGGTGAAAAGTATGTGCAAGAAGAGTTTCTGGGTGAAGAGTCTCTGGGTGAAAAAATATGGGTGAAAATGTGCAAGAAGGTTTCTGGGTGAAGAGTCTCTGGGTGAAAAGTATATGGGTGAAAAGTATGTGCAAGAAGAGTTTCTGGGTGAGGAGGGTCTCTGGGTGAAAAGTATGTGCAAGAAAGTTTCTGGGTGAAGAGTCTCTGGGTGAAAAGTATATGGGTGAAATGTTGTGCAAGAAGAGTTTCTGGGTGAAGAGTCTCTGGATGAAAAGTATATGGGTGAAATGCCTGTGCAAGAAGAGTTTCTGGGTGAAGAGTCTCTGGGTGAAAAGTATATGGGTGAAAAATGTGCAAGAAGATTGGTGAAAAGTATGTGCAAGAAGAGTTTCTGAGTGAAGAATCTCTGGGTGAAAAGTATATGGTTGAAAAATCTGTGCAAGAAGAGTTTCTGGGTAAAAAGTATATGGGTGAAAAGGATGTGCAAGAAGAGTTTCTGGGTGAAGAGTCTCTTGGTGAAAAGTATATGGGTGAAAAGTATGTGCAAGAAGAGTTTCTGGGTGAAGAGTCTCTGGATGAAAAGTATATGGGTGAAAAGTATGTGCCAGAAGAGTTTCTGGGTGAAGAGTCTGTGGGTGAAAAGTATATGGGTGAAAAGTATGTCTAAGAAGAGCTTCTGGGTGAAGAGTCTCTGGGTAAAAAGTATATGGGTGAAAAGTCTGTGCAAGAAAAGTTTCTGGGTGAAAAATCTGTGGGTGAAGAGTCTCTGGGTGAAAAGTATGTGCAAGAAGAGTTTCTGGATGAAGAGTGTCTGGGTGAAAAGTATATGGGTGAAAAGTATGTGCAAGAAGAGTTTCTGGATGAAGAGTCTCTGGGTGAAAAGTATATGGGTGAAAAGTATGTGCAAGAAGAGTTTCTTGGTGAGGAGTCTCTGGGTGAAAAGTATATGGGTGAAAAGTATGTGCAAGAAGAGTTTCTGGGTGAAGAGTCTCGGGGTGAAACGTATATGGGTGAAAAGTATGTGCAAGAAGAGTTTCTGGGTGTAGGGTCTCTGGATGAAAAGTATATGGGTGAAAAGTACGTGCAATAAGAGTCTCTGGGTGAAAAGTATATGCAAGAAGAGTTTTTGGGTGAAGAGTCTCTGGGTGAAAAGTGCATTGGTGAAAAGTATGTGCAAGAAGAGTTTCTGGATGAAGAATCTCTTGGTGAAAAGTATATGCTGGCAAAATCTGTGCAAGAAGAGTTTCTGGGTAAAAAGTATATGGGTGAAAAGGATGTGCAAGAAGAGTTTCTGGGTGAAGAGTTTCTGGGTGAAGAGTCTCTGGGTGAAGAGTCTTTGGGTGAAAAGTATATGGGTGAGAAGTATGTGCAAGAAGGGTTTCTGGGTGAAAAGTATATGGGTGAAAAGTATGTGTAAGAAGGGTTTCTGGGTGAGGAGTCTGTGGGTGAAAAGTATATGGGTGAAAAGTATGTGCAAGAAGAGTTTCTGGGTGAAGAATCTCTGGGTGAAAAGTATATGGGTGAAAAGTATGTGCAAGAAAGTTTCTGGGTGAAGAGTCTTTGGGTGGAAAATATATGGGTGAAAAGTATGTGCAAGAAGGGTTTCTGGGTGAAGAGTCTCTGGGTGAAAAATATATGGGTGAAAAGTGTGTGCAAGAAGAGTTTCTTGGTGAAGAGTCTATGGGTGAAAAGTATGTGGGTGTACAGTATTTGTAAGAAGAGTTTCTGGGTGAAGAGTCTCTGGGTGAGAAGTACGTGCAAGAAGAGTTTCTGGGTGAAAAGTCTGTGCAAGAAGGGCTTCTGGGTGAAGAGTCTCTGGGTGAAAAGTATATGGGTGAAAAGTATGTGCAAGAAGGGTTTCTGGGTGAAGAGTCGGTGGGTGAAAAGTATATCGGTGAAAAGTATGTGCAAGAAGAGTTTCTGGGTGAAGAGTCTCTGGGTGAAAAGTATATCGGTGAAGAGTATGTGCAAGAAGGGTTTCTGGATGAAAAGTCTCTGGGTGAAAAGTGTGTGCAAGAAGAGTTTCTTGGTGAAGGGTCTCTGGGTGAAAAGTATATGGGTGAAAAGTATGTGCAAGAAGGGTTTCTGGGTGAAGAGTCTCTGGGTGAAAAATATATGGGTGAAAAGTATGTGCAAGAGGAATTTCTGGGTGAAAAGTCTGTGCAAGAAGAGTTTCTGGGTGAAGAGTCTTTGGGTGAAAAATATATGGGTGAAAAGTATGTGTAAGAAGAGTTTTTG